AAGCACAATTATTAATTCAGTACATTGTATTGGGCAATACCAGTAACATAACGCTGGTCATTCATGAATGATTTAACCGAAGTGAGTATAGATAATATGTGTCAAGAACTCGGTATACATTACTTGTAACTATCGAAAATATGACAGATTTGTGGATTTATTTAAAACTAGCGTATCTCGCGACTTTCCGTTCATCAAAGGAAAAAGAACATATAGAAATCTATTTTTTGTTCAATAATTCAATGGTTAGCTCTCTAAATGGACTTATTGTTTTGTCTGAAATTTATACCATAATTAAAATTGCTCGTGCCATAGATGTGTAAATAATAGTAAATTGAACATAAAATAAATTTTATAAAAATGGCTATAGACAATAGAAGCTAGCTTTGGCCTTTCGTTTGTATGATACGATGATAGTTTACTCATTCTCACCAAAATTCTGTGTCCACTTGTGAACGTCCCTATAAAATAGATAAGGGCAATATTCTCGTCTTTCTAGCCAATGGGACCGGCAGTACTGCAGAAGGTTCAAACAGATCGATAAACGACAGTCTGTCGTTCTGTTTGTAAGCCAAGTAGCCCAAAAAGAAAGAAAAAAATAATGATTCTTTGAGAAATCAGATAGCCAATTCAATTTTGTTTAATTGTAAGTAATATTAAAAATAATTATAATCTATACTAATATTATAAAGTGGTAAAGTTTGTGAGTTTGTGATGTTGTGAGGTTGTAGGGGGTAATCTCTTGATCTACTAAACCGTTTAAGATGAAATTTGGTAAGAAGATATATGATTTGAGACACTGGAAAGGACATAAAAACTTTTATTCTGGAAATCATCATACAAGGGTGAAATTGAGGATGAAAGTTTGTGCAGGGATCTAAGCTAGGGACGAACCGGTGAATCGCTAGAATAATAATAAATGTGTTGTATCATTACATAGCTGAATATGCTAAATTCGAATATTGCATTTACAATACATATGTATTTAGCACGAACATTTCAGTTTCATCTAATAACCCAAAACAAGAACCTTTATGATAAAAAAACTAGCTTTAAGCAGGAATCGAACCCAATATATCCTGTTTAGCAGGCATAAAAAAGTTATACAACAAATTTTTCCTTAGGTAGTTAAATTATTTAATGTTAATCTTATTAATTATTACATGAACTAGATCGTTAACGAGCGTGACATTTTTTTCTATTGCGTTTATATTATTTAACTTTATTAATTGTTATATAAAATATTATTTATATAATATATTTTTGTGTGCATTGTGACATTATAAATTTTTGTTTTATTTTTTTTATAGAAAATCTAAATGAAACCTTTTAAGATATTTCTTAATATAATTAATTGTCATTCATTTAAAAGTAATAAAATGTACTAAAACTGACGCATATGCTAAAGTATAATATGCGTGTGAACATAGTTATCGTTATTACATAGATAAAAATACTTTTTATTATAAAACTCGCGACTCACACTCATTAAGGCTCAGGTTCATCCCTAGGTTGCTGCCCCATACAAACTTTCACCCTCATTTTCACCCCCTTAAGGGATGATTTCCTGGATTAAAACTATTTATGTCGTTCCGAGTGTTTCAAACTATCTTCTTACCTTACATCTAAATCTGTTCAGTAGTTTCGAAACTTATTCGATATAAATAAACAAACTAACAAAAAAAAACTTTTATTCTCTTTATAATATTAGAATAGATTATATTTCAGAAGGCAACAAGTGGATATCAGGCATTATACCAGCCTCGTATCCTGAATGAAAAAAAAAAATTGTGTATTCTTTTTTTTTCTACACAGTATCTTTGGATGACACTTTAAATCACGTCTCTATTACATAACGATGGTACTGCCCATGGGTTTGATTTGCAAGCTTAGCCTTACAAATATCTGTTCATTGAATAATACATACATTGTGCAATCCGTATCTGGTCGAGTTAGTATGGCATTGTTAAGGATCCAGTTATACTGTTGCTGAAAATAGCGTTATGAAATAGCTATATCAATGAAATATTTCAATGAATGTCAGGAAATTCTAGAGTTTAAATAAAACAAGATTGTTATTAACCCCCGACGCAAAAAGAGGGGTGTTATAAGTTTGACGTCGATGTCTGTCTGTGTGTGTGTCTGTCTGTGGTATCGTAGCTCTCAAACGGATGGATCGATTTCGATGCGGTTTTTTCATTTGAAAGCCAGTTTCCTTGCGGTGGTCCTTAGCCAGTGTAATCGTTAAATGACAATTATTTTGCGTAGGGGATTTGTTCAATTTTTAATTTATAATTATATAAGGTAAAGTTGTATAAAGAGTTTGATTCTTAAATAGATTTTTTTTTGTTGAATCCTTAACACAAATTATTTAGTTTCGATATAGACGAAAATGTAACATTATATTCTAAAACTCAGCGTAAAAAGGTTTAAAAATCTACGAAAATGAAATAATGGACTAGTGATTTTTAGATTTTTCATTTTAGATAGTATCATGCTATAAAGAGTGTGCATTTCTTTTGTCACGTGGTAATTAAGTTTTAAGAATTAAAAAAATACACTTTCGACTGAATGGAACTTAGGGACCCGTCAAAATAAATAGTACTTAATAATTTTATTAGAAGCTATTAGAAACACACATAACTGGCTGACTATCATTAGATCAGCTCGAGGTATGAACTCATTATAATATTATTGTTACTTCACATACTTACAAAATGTTAAATCGATATGACAATTTACTTAATATAAACAACAAAATCTGTCCAGTGGTTTTCCTGTGATGCGGTCGGAGACAGACAGATAGAAAGATAGAAATTCTAAAAACTATAGATTTGGCCTCTGTATCGATAATAATGACTATTTCAATAAGATTTTCCAAAAAATATTTTATGTACAGATTCGACTCAGTTAGAATTTTATTATATGTAATTATAGATAATTGTTAAAATCGGCTTCTATTGATATAGTTGGATGCACTGCAGGATGGAAGCACTGTAATTTTTAATATATTTTGTAGTAGCATAAGACCTTCAAAATAAAATAAAAAATAAAGTAGGTACTTCTTACATGCTTCCTATATAAAATAATGTTTTCGTCTCACAAGTAGTATTAATTGTAGTTTTTTTTCTCTCATAAAAATATTTTCTTATCTGCCTGATAAGACAATTTACTTTCAGAATATGGAAAGAAAAGATCAAATCGTATGACATATTTTTTTCGTTATTCTGGGGCGAAAATGAGACGTTATCGATACCCTTCCTTTATATTTCCATTTTTTATTAAGATTCAATTTATATAATACCCCATTTGGTTGATTACCCATATATACTTCCATACCCATTTTCACCCCCTTAAGAGATGATTTCCGGGATAAAAATATCCTATGTTCTTTCCGGGGTCTCAAACAATCTTCTTACCAAATTTCATATAAATCGGTTCCGTAGATCCAGAGATTACCCCCTACAACGTCACAGACTCACAAACTTTATCTCTTTATAATATTAGTATAGATGTAGTAGTAAGTAATACAATTTAACAAATTATGCTGAAGCACTTATGAAATAAGAATATAAAACCTACGTTATTACGTTGCTTTTATAGAACTAGTTATTTCTTTGATTGCCTTATACTTCGGGATTATAGAACTATAAAGCCAGCTTACACTGAATAGTCGAACGTTTTAATATGTATTCAATTATCATATACACATATTTCGGGTTTGTTGTTTTAGTGTGTTTTTTTTAAAAACTTGATGTATTTCTAGAACAGCGGTTTGATTGGTTGTTGTCAATAAACTAAAAAAACAAAACTATGTCCAGGAAAAATTGACGGAAAAATAGTGGTGTTTTCTATTCGAAATGATTCTATTCGAATTTACATCGTACAAGCTATATTAAATCATTGACTCACAGTAAAATAAGTCACAACCTAAGCCACTGGATCGAGAAGCTTGAAACTTTGCACAAAAGTGCGACGAATGTAAGTATTAACAAAAGATTTTTGGATTGTGAAAAAATTATCCGTTGATGCGACGTGTATAAAACTTTGTAGAGAAAACAATATTTTTCAGGGCTCAAATTTGAAAAAGGCAATCGGACAAAGCTGGAAGCGGTTGCTAGTATAATGTAATAAGGAATTTAATATAAATATGAACTTATATTCATTACATATTTATTTTTATTATATTCATTACATATTTATTTTTATTTAAATCATCATCAAGATTAAAAATCTTCTCAAAGAAGTTTTTAAATAAAATTAAATATATAGAGGTACACGTAAAAAAGTTCTTGCAAATATGTGGTACAGGTAATAGGATGCCTGAACTTAACAGTAGCTGGCAGATATCAATTTTCAATCATAGAGTTTATTAGATCCTGTTACAAGATAAAATAAATAATTTATTTTATTTGCGTGGTATATAGTCTAAATGACAATGATAGAGTGAAATTTCAGTCGTGACCATGACATGATATATAAATTTTCATAATATTATTTAAAAATAATAAAAAAGGAATAAAAATAATTATAAAATTTAGAGTAAATCAATATATAATAAATCATAAAAACTTAACGTTCTTTTATTGAAATAATTTGTTGTAGAGAATACTCGAAAATTTTACTTCAGTGAATTTTGAATTAGATTACAAAGTTTCTGAGATTAGTCAAATTATCTAAACATACAGACTTACAATTATTCATCTATTTAGTTATTATGTACAAGCAACTTAGGCTAAAACCTCAAGGCACAGTAAAAACTTAAAAATAATATTTGCTATGACAAAACTTGTAATTTTTTACTTTCCCCGTGTATTCGGGATTATCGAACTAGGAAGCCAATCCAGATCGATCGGGTTAGTGAAAATTTAGACGTAATTAATATAATAATTAGAGGGGGGAGGGTATATATTAAGTGGAAGGTTGGTCGCGCCATTCGCCGCGCGTCTCTCCGCGCTCACGCATGTCTCGCGAGTGACAAGTGACACTTGACCTACAAAATGACCGCCAAAATTTACGTAAGTGTCAAAATATAGTGTAGATCTGTGGTTTCAGAACGCATCCAGGATTATTCATTTTTTTGTTTTTTTTTTCATTTAGTGTTTGTGTTTGTGTTCGTGGTATGGTGGTTCTAGATCACATTTCTATGCATATATTTAATTAATCCTTTATTATTATTTTTAACATCCTATGCTATTTTTTTAAATTATTAATAAAAATTAATAAACTCTTAACTAATAAGTTCATTATTTTTGTAAAAATATTTCGACTTAAGAATTCAATAATATACGAAGTTAGTTAGTAGTAGTTAGTACGAAGCAAGTTATGACGAAATATGTTAAATAAAAAATTACGTTACAATATAAAACTAGGTACTTATATTTTACTATCATAGTTAAATAGACCTTTTCGTTGATTCATAGGTCAAGTAAAGCCAGTTTATGATATTGAAATGGTCCTACCGTTTACTACTAATACATGATTTGGCTGTTAAAATTAAAATATACTTTAAAATAAATTTTAACTACAGATAGAGAGTTCTTTGAAAATCTATTGCTATAGAGAAAATAAATATATATTTTATATATTCAATTTTATTGTTTTTTCAAGTACTTTTTTATTTTAAGCTTGAAAGCAAAGTAAGGTCAAACTTAAAAAGATAATGTTCAGAACGCAGTATTATAATGATTGATGAAGTTGAATGCTTCTATTCTTTAATATCTATTCAATGTCTTTTTTTTTGCTTATCTTTTATTCTTGTGTTGTGTCAACAATATAATGACTTCAAGTTTTAAAGCTACCTATTATGTCCTGATTGCGTGTTTATACTTAAATAAGTTTTTCTCTATGCTTCTTACGCATACAACAAAAAAAAATATGAATCACAAAAAGTTATGTCACGAGATGACTTTCGTTGTATTTATTTTGTATGCTAAACTTTTAAGAAAAAATAAAAAAATCAAATTATATATATTTTTAAGCAATTGCATCCTTTTTAGTCAAGAATTGGTAATTTATACTGAAATTTACATAACTAAAAATGTACATAATTTGTTATTATTAATGTGCTTACCAATTACTATAAAAATATTTAACTTAAATTTCATAATAGAACCTATTATTACAATGAAATTTTTATTTTGCCTATACATATTATATGATTCAAGTATAAAACAAACAATGCTTTAGTAACTGCAATGTAAAATATTAAATTTAGTACAATCACCCTCTCTTGACTGTACAAAACGTCAGTGACTACAGGCTATTATGACAATTAACAAGCTCAGAATTTGACGACATAAGAATTTGACGAATCAAATATTTGCCAAATTTAGATTTTGACTTATATAGAATATGACCAATTAAATATTTGGCCAATGTCTGGGCAACCTCTAGATCTAGATCACATTTCAATTTTCCTACTACTTTATTGAAAATATAGAGAACAGCTGATATAAGCCTTCATAGTTATGTTATTAGCAAGTAAACAATAACTGTTTCTTTAAGCAACGATAATATTTGGTTTACTCCATAGCCGTTTCCTTATGTTTTCACTTTCGATGCTAAAGTGAGAGTTACGCCATGATTTTGCAAATATTGTTATTATTTATACATTAGTAATGATCAGTTTCATAGTTATTTTAGATAATATGTTGTGACAATTTAATCTACATTAATAACAAGATTATAGATTAGTGGTGCAACTTTTTACATAAAGTTTATAGGTTGGATAAACATAAGCTATTTTTTCATAAATAATATTTCTGGTGATCTGAAATCTGGTGAATCGTTTCCGAAACGTAAAATATTTAATTAGTTGCAGCAAAAGTCTGTATTAGCTATAAAAACAAATTGTAGGTATATTTTTTTAATTAATATTATAATTTACATATATTCTATTAAGATTTATAATTTTATGTAATGATAACTCATTTATTTCAGTTACCTCACATTGATATAGTTATACGTAAATATACCTATATCGATGTGCTTTTGCTTTGTTCATGAAATTGTAAGATTACAGTATGACCCAACATTATAAATGATAGAACTAGGCGGATAACATAGTATATGTGGGCGTGAGACTTCCAGTTCCAACTAAGGAATAAAGCTCGCCACTCACTAAAAGCTTCCTCATTACGTAAAATTATGAGTTATCAACCTTTTTTTTTATGAAAAGCAATAATTTTTAATTTTAATTATATGTAGGGACTAGGGATCAAAAAACTTTTTCATGTAAGTTAGCTTTAGTATTTCGCCGCCATTTTTATTTTTAATGGCGGCGATGGATACTGTCAAAAAGATTAAATAGGGACATGTGTAAGAATATGAAATCTTTTTGCTTCGTTGCTGAGAAAAGGTAAAATCAATAAACACAATTTCGTATTTATAATAATTAAGAAATTAGAGCGTATGTCGTTTTATTATCTGTATAATAAAACGACAAAGCTAAATTACTAATGGCTCCAGACTTAGACCTATTTGATGGCGAAATCACAATGTGATCGCATTTAACCTAACTCTCACTCGAGTTGATAATTGCCATCATATATAAGATTAAAGTGAGTACCTTTTAACCAAAAAGGTACACTGAGTTCAAACTCATATTATAAGTAATTATCCTATGTTTTTTTTACATTTTTTTACATATATATTTATGGATATATTTTAGTCTATTGTGGTATATATAACCTATGTTCTATACAATAATTAAAAAAATTCGTAAGAACAAAAAAAATCGTGTAAAGATAACTTATTCACTCCATTATCTCGTTTTCTGGTCACTCAAATAAGTTCTTAAAGACTTAAAAGCACATCCTAACAAATCTTCTAGTAAAATTACAAGCTATATTTGGTAGATGGAAGTGACCATAACCACATCACCTGCTACATTGAGCTAAGGTGAAATCGGTTAAACTCCACTGGTTTCTTAGATTGCACTCTTAAAAACTTTCGCTTATCATGACTGGTGTAATTTTTGTTTCTCTTCCTATATGAAATTATAATATTTTTAGGGTTCCGTATATTTGATTTAAAATCGAAACCCAAATAAAAATTAATAATTGTGTGTTTGTCTGCTTGTCATTTCTCTTATTTATATAAGTTTAAATTAATAATGGGTGTATAAAGTAAATAAATAAATAATATTTTTTGTAATCAGCTAAAAAAATTAAATCAATTCTTGTGTAATTAATAGGAGGATTATAACAGATATCCAAATAAAGTTTTAACCTAATTTCAGGCTGCTAAAGTTCACCAGCGCTATAAAATTTTGTTATATACTTTATGTTGGCTATGTGTTTGTTTCATGACTGTGTTCGCATAAATATGACAGCTTTTTAGACTAACCTCGAGATTTCGCTGTAATTTTTTGGTAGCTACATTACCAAAAAAACTTTTATCAGTCTAGTTTATATGTATAGTCGAGAAACTATTTCCCAATAATTGCTCAATGCTTAGAAAGCTTTTATTCAAAGTTTAGCTGGTCTTATAAACTTAAAGCTTGTTATCATTTACTTTAATCTAGAATTAGACGAATTTAGAGGTGATAAGTTTTGTTATACTAAGTAGTTCCGTGTTCGATTCCGCAAAGGTCAAATTAATGATTAATATTAGTCTTTGCTATTTCTATATAACTGGCGTAGATAGGGATAATATATATTGTTAATCGTTGCTTATTCCTTTTTTTTTACTATGAAAAATCGTGTTTTTTTGTCACGATCTAATTATATGAGATAGACAGTTCCGTTTCCGTGGGAGTTGAGATAAATGGTGCTAGTTTAATATAATTAAGTGTAAATGTAAATAAAACACCTGTAAATTATATCGTTTTTATAAATATTAATGTTTATTTTATTACTTTTAAATCAGTACATAAAAAAGAATGTTTTTAAATTTTAATATAGCTTTCATTAATTTAATTTATTTTTTTATTGTCATTTTAGAACCAGTCGTTGAAAATCTTATCATGATGAATAAACATAGAATGAATTAATTTACTTAACTCGTGGACGGTGCCTACAAGTGTAGCTTACAGCAACTTATATCTAGATTAAAGTAAAATATACAAAGTCTAACGAAATAATTTTAATTATCCAAAATACTTAGAACTGGTCACGATTGTGTTTCACAATAGGTATGTTAAATAAGTAATAATATAAGCCGTATTTGTTAGGTATTTTCAGGTAATAATTACGAATCCGAATTTTTAAATAAAACTATCTTTTCGGATTTTTTCGCGAATTTATTTTGATTTTTGGTTCCCGACGTTTCGAATGCTTTACAGCATCCATGGTCACGGGAGAGACTGTGTGTGTCTAAATTCGCGAAAAAATCCGAAAAGATAGTTTTATTTAAAATGTCAAGTATTCGCGTAAATCTAAGAAAGTATTACGAATCCGAATTTTATTACGAACAAAATAAAAAATTCTAGCACATAGTTTTTTTTTCTTTTAATTACTATGCATGCGTTACAAGTTCATCAAACAAACTTAACTAATCTACGAATTCAATATACATATACTACACTTCAAGTGAAGCGGGTTCAAATCCCGGGTTTCGCACCTCTGATATTTACATGTGCGAATCATTTCCAAAATGATTACCACTTGTCTTACGGTGAAGGAAAACATCGTGAGGAAACCTGCATGTCTGAGAAAACTTAGCAAGTTTTCGAAAGATATGTGAAGTCCGCCAATCCGCACTTGGACAGCGTGGTGGACTATGGCCTGATTCTCCTAGTACTGAAGGGAGGCCCGTGGCCAGTAGTGGGACGTCAAAAAGGGCTGAATACCAAATATTACATACAAACTTTCACATTTAGGTATAATAGAAGCCCGATAAAGTATCATAAAGGTAAATATTTGTTTGACTGGAATCGAATCCACGACATTTTATTAGGAGGCAAATCCTCTTACCACTGGCCTTTAACGTAATCGTCTAGATCTGGGTCATGCAATAATCAGATAGTTGATAGTAATCGTATTGTTTGTCTTTCATATCATATGAAATTGTGTAG